TGGGGGGGTAACCCCAAGATACAGACAATCCTGCACAAAACCATCTGCGACACTCTATTAAAACGTTCCTTTGTGGCTTTTTTACCTGTTAGACCGGAATAATTTACTCGTTTGCCCCCCTCGGCCCCCAAAACAATGTTGGACGTTTTATCCGTATTCTACGAATGCAATCAACATTTGTAAATTTACGATAATATTACGACATTTTGTCAAGTAATTGGAAGTGTCGCAGATCTTTTGTCCAGGAGAGTCTGAAATAAGTCGAAATTATATTCCTTTATATTTCGCTTTTTATACATGCCTTGCCATCTACTTCGTTTATGCGCTTTGCTTATGACCTACTTATATTGATAGGTTATACATTCAGGGACAATAAATTCAATAGAATTACGTTTCTGGTATTTACTGCATATATTTAGAATATTAAGTGACAACTATATAAATGTAAATTATGCATTTTGACACAAGTTTCCGGGTGTGGTATATCCATGCCCAACTTTCAACAGTAACGGTGTACCACAACCAATGCACTAAGACTGTGATAATATCCCCAGTTACAAGGGTAATACAAAGCAATGAAATGAACTTGAAAGAACGTGTGTTGCTTAGTATTGCAACCTACTTCAGACAATATTTAGCGCGATAATTTTAAAATATTCCACGGTGTACCATTTTAACCTTACAAAAGGAATATATATATATTCTTATGTGTTCACGCTGTACCGTGGTACACCGTCAATGCGCATGCGCTATTATACGACAATAACAAAATCGGATTAGTCATTTAAAACGGCGGTCACGCAATATATTTCCAGTCAACAGCTAAGCGTTTGTCTGTCTAACAACACAAATATATATGGATTAAAGTATTTTAGAATATTCTTAGTGCAAAAAAATTGGTATATATACTGCTAAGTACATTGACTTGCTCTCTGACGTATATTAAATGCGTAAAAGTCGTCGCATATGATTCTTAATTTGCATTCAATACAAGCTATTGAAACAGCGTTGCATGAGGGTGTTATATTACCTTGTCGACCATGTAGTATTTGCTTCTTGAAGCCTAATACATTCTAGTGGGCCATATTTACTACGGAAAGAGAAAGTCCTGCATAATACTCAATTTTTAATGCGCAATGCCTCGGTTATTAAATTTGAAAGATACAGACAATCCTGCACAAAACCATCTGCGACACTCTATTAAAACGTTCCTTTGTGGCTTTTTTACCTGTTAGACCGGAATAATTTACTCGTTTGCCCCCCTCGGCCCCCAAAACAATGTTGGACGTTTTATCCGTACTCTACGAATGCAATCAACATTGAATGGTGGGGGAAAGGGGGGCATTTATATGAAGAAATATGATACAATAATTAGGTTGATTATTAATGAATTAATTAAATATGATTAGTTCTTTAGAAGCTTTAAGTCCATGATTAAGTTCAGGTTTATATCTTTAACTAGCGAGGGATTCTTGATATAGTAAAAGGGCTGGCCTCTGTAGCTCAGTTGGTTAGAGCGCTGCACCAGAATCGCAGGGCCGTAGGTTGAATTCCTACCAGAGGACCTTGTGCTGCATTTTTCGCAGTCGTTCCTGGTTAGGTTTTAAAATGTATATATTCTCACTTGGATTACAAACCCTAACATTCTAATATTAATTCCACCCAGTGAAGTGCAAGAATCCAAATTATTAGTTTTCATATCACCTAGTTGGGACAACTTGCTCCATGAAATCAGCCCCCCTGTTACTGTAATTACACCTTATAATGTTCAAGTAGGAGTGATTTTCACTTGCCAATCTCAACTATAATAAAATGCCAACAACAATTAAAGTTTAAATTTTGAAAGATGCAACTGCATCGTAGTGTTCGACAACTAACCTAAACAGTGGACAGTTGTCGATAACAAATTGTTGTGAAATGTGAAGCATGTGTTGTATCCTATAGCTTTCTGTTATCTGAAATTGTTTTGTAGGGCTAAATGGACATCAGTTCATGGGACGAAGTATAAATGTGGTGCTATTGTCCATATTGGTTTTGATGAGGATGAATTTCCACAGTTTTGGGAGATCAAAGAGATCAGTATAATTGACAACAATGTTGCCAAGGCTATGTTCATTGTTACAAGAAAAGAAACATTGAAATTTTCCGAGCACTATCAGGCGTATGAGATTGCTATGCCTAGCAGTGCCGTAGCTAGCATTTCTAGTTGGGTGTAGGCCAAAAATTTCCGAATGACGAAGAAAATTTCCGAATATTCGAAAATTCTTGGCGACCTCGCCCCCGTCGCCAAAAAAATTTCGGTCAATGTACCATTTTAAGGGTCAAAAAAATTTTCCGGACATACCAAAAGTCAGAAATTAGCTAAAAATTGCCTGAATCTCATGATTTTCGTACAAAAACCATATACTATTATTGCCGTAATTTTCCGAATGGCCATCCCATTTCCGAATATGTCAAAAGTTGGGGGGTTAACCCCCCCCCCCCCCCAATACCCCCCTCGCTACGGCCCTGATGCCTAGGCAAAAGAACACTAGAGTTTTCTACTCTAAGGACTTTACTTGCCATTTACCACTTCATCAATCAAGCCATTTAGATGTCAGGCAAAGTATGTGTACTTGCGATATGAAATTGATATTGAGTAGTGTTACTTGTAAACAGTAAATTTATTAATCTGTTTGTAATTTGACGTTTTGCGTCTAGTTATAATAATATAATATTAAAGCACATTGAAAAGTACTTGTCATTTTTTAAATTGTTGGAAATATTTGTTTTTTTGGCTCGTCAATTCGCCACTCATTTATATTTATTCATGCATTTAACCGTGCAAAATTGCTTTGTGATCATATAACGAATAAGAAGTTATTAATAATGCGATATTTGCCCCAATTGGCCCAAATTACTTGGCTATTCAACTCAGTAAATTTCAGTTCACTGATTCAACTTCACCGCTCCTTCGTCGTCCGCCATTTTGAAATCGAAAAAGAGATTATGTGGTGCTAATTTAACACCTAAAATTTAACTCCAAAAATGGTGTCGTTTTAGCACTTTAGCTTACAAGCATGGTGTTATTTTAACACCTTAAAAAGGTGTTAAATTAATAAGGTGCTAAATTATAAACCAGGGCTATATGATCACTTATCCCCAGTTCAATTACCCCAGAATCAATTGTTTTATTGTCTTCAATTTTAGTGAGTATAGTTCAACATCCTACTCCTCTAAAATATAAATTTGCGGATACCAAAGTTGTTGTATTTACGGAAGGATAAAATGAACTCAACCGGGACGTGTGTGAAATTAGACAGTTCAACTTTGCCCGAGTTAACGTTGGCATAGGCGTACGCACCCCCTCCAATTGTTACCAAAGAGGGCAAAGTCGCACAATTTTTGGTTGGGCGACGGAGGAGGGATCTCAAGCCGATATATTTTAGTTGATAAATACCGTCGTACGAATCAAGAATAACACTTTCAAAAATGTTGATTAGAGAGGATTATTTGATGTGAGTACAACATATGGTCAGAGGCGAAACTACCAATCTCGTCGGGTACTATATCCACACAATTTCGGCGGGCAAATTTTGAAAATATTTGAGTGTCTCGGATTGAAAAGTTAACCATATTAATGTTTATTACTGAAAATATTACTGCAAATTTTACAAATTAAAGTAAATTAATATTTCGCAAAAATAACGCTAATTTTTGAAAAACAAACAGACACAAAACACCTTGAGTATATTTTCTACATTTATTCAAACGCTTTAGAGTTAAAAAAGGCATAGAAGTACTTATTATAAATTTTTTCAATGGATTTACATGGTTAACGTTGCAGTGTGAGTTCATGTAAATAATACAGCACACATGGCCGCTAAGACAATACCGACTAGACTATGACGAATACTTACAAAATATATGGTTTAGGTTACACATACACTACGGCATTTGCATTTTTAAAATCATATTTGCATTTTCAGGGGTTATTAAGTATTTCTATCAAACTGCTGGTCGTATATTAAAATTAAAGTCCTGTAACTTGCTTTACCCAGGGGTAAAGGTTGGCAACATTGGCATAAACTCCATAGTATCCGGCAGCTGCACACCCAAAACCCCAGCTCGTCACACCAGTAAGATACCATGAACCATCACTATGTTGACAAACAAGTGGACCTGAGAAAGGAAACAACATTTATTTGAATTAGATCTGTTTAAACGATTTCTTAAATGATTAGTACATGGCACACTGTACCTTTGCAGGTTTAAACTCTTATACCGGTGGCAATTATATGGTGCAACTACAATCATGGCCAAAATGTTGTGGACAACCCACAGACATTGGACTCTAGTGGTGTTTTTTTCTGAATAATTATCCCCCCACTACAAGCCAATGTTGAATGGGGATTTTTAATCAAATAAGAAGTGTACATAATTCGGATATCAACATTGAAGAGGGGGGATATGCCTGTAAATTCAAGTTTTAGCTGTTTGTTATGATTTTTTGAAAAGTGGATCAAGGGTCCACATGAGTTTTGGCCTGGATTGTAGATCTGGGAAAGTTTCGTTGAAGTCCGTTACACATTTTAAAGTAGTTTTTTTTAATAAGTTTTAAGTAAAACCATTAGGTGCCATATGGGTAAAATGCGTTTATTCTTTATTCCGAAGTAATTCTTTCCTGTCGTTTTAGTCGCGGTCTGCTTTTTGCTGAACTAAGTGGTATAAAGGTTAGCGTAGTGGTTGCTATCATGTCGTTTTGACTGTGACGAACAAATCATATGTATTCTTAAGTCTTACCTCCGCTGTCACCTAGGCAAGTGTCGGTACCACCTTGAGAAAATCCAGCGCACAGCATTCTATCAGTAATTATCGTGCTGCTATATGATTCTTCGCATTGTTGTGGAGTTGCCACGGGAACTTGAGCTTCCTGTAAGATATTTGGCATTGATCCCCCATTATGCAGTGTGCCCCATCCAGTGATGTAACAAAGTTGACCTATATAGAAATACCATAATTTCGGTATTTGCATGCATGATCTATATGTACACGAATGTTGTTTTGGAGGTAGCGTTCAGGACCTTACGAGCTCAATGCTTAGGGAGGTTACCATGATCAAGTGCATTACGTATCATAATTAAATGGGCACTTGTGATGTGATAATGTATCTCATTGGTTAATTTTATATTGCTATTTCGTTAATAGGCGCATTACCAGTAGAAAAACAAAAAGCACTTGCAATCTGGTCTTCGGGCCTGGATAGTGATTTTTTATTGTTGGAAAAATTATGGAAAAGATTAACATAACCAATATAAATAACCTTTAATTTATATATACTGAAGTTTAATTAGGGTTATACCACGATCAACGGACATTGTTAGAAAGCATGAAAAATATCGGTGGATATAGCGCTGCATGGCCGACCTTTGTACAACCAGCTCTCGAACTTTTCATGTGCCAAACCGTATGCATAGGAGGGGCACATGAAAAGCGCGACGTTTCCATGTTCCTTTATACTTGGACTGTTAATAATGATAAACGTAATATTGATAATGATGATAGCATTCAATATATACCTCGCCTTTTCGGCTTAAGTTTCTATTGCACTAAAAATAACGTTACTTTACCAGCGAAATCTATGCCGCTGTTTATACAGACGGGCTTTATCGCGTGTGTAAACTCAACACTTGTAGAAAGTCTGATGACTGCAATATCATAATCCGTATACTGGTACTGCGGATGAATTGTAATGCCATTTGTTGCAATATAGAAATTTTCATATTCTTTCTCCACGCTCAGGTCATGTTTACCTAATTTGATCTGAAAATGGAAAATTAGTTAGAACAAAGTGTGACTGAAAATGGAAAAAGAAGAATGTATATAAACCATAGAAGACTAATATAAACAAAGGTTTCTTTTTTCAGTAGTTTTATTCAAATTGGAAAGATACGAAGGCCCAACTAGTTCATAGGCTATCGCAGTGAAGATGGCTGTGAAACCCATTAGAATAACAACAGAACTCATTATCTATATGTTACTCAACGTTTATTCATAAATCTGGTCCTTCACGGTCATGTGCGCATTGTATTTTTGCCAAATCCACCAATATCATGCAATTTCCAATTTACTATTGTTCGAGTTACGGATAGGTAACTTTCCTAAAACATTGTTATTGGTTAGTTATGGGCAAACATACAATGCACACGTGACGAAGAAGGACCAGATTTAGGAACAAACGTTGACTAACATAGATAATAAACTATATTGTTATTCTAATGAGTTTCACAGCCATCTTCCCTTCGATAGGCCATGGTTAGTCAGTATTATCATTGAACTGGAATTATAGCCGAAAGTGGTAATAACTGTTGTAGTGGTAATAACTCTTGGAGTATAATACACCCATTATTTGGTAACAATGGGGAAATTGAGAAAAATTATTTGGGGATAACAAAAGTCATCCAGGAGGAAATTCATGGTGTGTAAGGAAAAGCAAAGAGGGCAGCTAAATGAATTTGACGTTTGTAGGTGGTTTGTTAATAAAGGTGAAGGTGGAAAGGAGCACAAACAGTTAGGATACCATCATTGAACATTCAAACAGGGTTCCAGTGGGCTCGGCCAGGCATGGTTACATGAGCTTTAATTACCTTCACGCGATCCCAGTGCATTGATTCGACGCAGTGAGCAGCAGTAATAACGTGTTGATTTGAAACAAGTGAACCACCACAGAATGGGAAAGTTCCGTCCCCCACATTGTGCAAAAGTACTACTTGCCATGGCCATTCACCTGGTGTGGCTTCTTGACCACCGACAATTTTGGGGAAGTCACTAAGACCATATCCTTTCTGGCCACATGATCCTGATAGATGCCTTGGTGTTTCTGTAGGTTTTGGTGTGCCAGGAGATCCTGAACATTGACCAGATGCGATTGATATCTCATCCAATGCAATGTCACCTTGGTAACTACTTCCTCTTACTCCACTGAATACAACCTTTGAAAAACAAATTAAAATGAAATACCGTTCATACAGATCATGATGGAGACTTCGTTTACACTTTATGGAATAGTCAGGTCGTTTCATATGCCTGTACAATATAGTGTAAACACCAACGTTTTGTATCTTTTTGAACTATTCCCACAAAAGACAGTGACTGCACATGCACTAAATATAGATCCGATACACGGCAGCTATCCGAGTGTTGTCCAATACTGTCGCATCGATTCGGGTCATACATGTTGTAAAATTCGCCTAATTGCAAGTCGTTCGATTTGGCCAATTTTACGAGTCGTTACGACCCGTACAAGTGGCCATAGCCAAGAGTATTAAGAGGTAGATGGTCTCTATTCGCTGAGTCGTACGATTTGGCCAATTTGACGAGCCGTTACGACCCGTACAAGTGGCCATAGTAAGGGTATTAAGAAGTAGATGGTCTCTATTCGCCAAGTCGTACGAATGGGCCAATTTGACGAGTCGTTACGACCCGTACAAGTAGCCATAGCCAAGGGTATTTGATTGATTTTTAATAAAACGTTTTGCAATCAAAGACTGATTTATACACGTTTTTACATTTATTTATACGAAATTAACTAAGATACATTATTCAAACTAAGCTATAAGAGAATATAAAATTATTAAAAAGTTGATATTTTCTGCATTGGTGTAACCGAGGTGAATAAGATGCTTGTGATGTTACTCTGAGTGTATATCCGCATCGGGCAGGCTTGAAAAATATGCCTGAACGCATAGAACTATTTGACAAATTTGAAAACTTCTTACAGTCCTTATAAAAAGCAGATGATGATGTCAAGGAACTTATTATAACAGGCGACCTAAACTGCAACCTTTTAGCCACTGAGAAAAATACTCACATTAAGAAACTTAATGACCTATAATGGATGTTTATCAATTACAACAGCATGCGCGCATATACAGTGTCCGACAAGGGTTACCATTACCACCAAAACTTTGTTGGACTATAATTCTAACAAAAATAGACGATACCAAGACTGTAAATGCTGGGGTAATACACTTGGGAATAAGTGATCATAGCTTAGTTTTTATATGCAGAAAAATTAGCGTCGCAAAAGCGAAGCCAAAAATTGTCGAAACAAGACAATTTAAACATTTTAATGCAGCTCAATTTCAACATGATTTAAGTAATGCGTTTAGTTCATTTCCAAGCTATACAGAAAGAAATTTTCCTTGAAATTGCTGATCTTCATGCACCAGTCAGACGACGAAAAGTCAAAAGCGAATACAAACCATGGCTAACTATAATGAAATCAAAACTATGAGTTATATCATAGAGATTATCTAAAGAAAAAAGCAATTAGCCTTAAATCTGCAATATTTCATGAATTGTATAAACGTTGCATAAATCAGGTAAATCGCGTAATTAAGGAAGCAAAGGCTAACTACTATAAATCAAGATTAGAAAATAGTAATAATACCAAGGATTGCTGGAAAGTTATTAACGAACTTTTGAATGGGGTCGGCTATTTTGCGAGTTGCGAGTTGCGAGTCTCTATAGCCTCGCTTTGAATTAGGCTTTGAAAGTTAATTTGGACGACATGGAAGGCAAAGTCGAAGGGTTTTTGTTTCATAAATATTAATGACCTTCGAAGTTAAGTTCCCTGTAACTAAATTCGTTTCAACACGTTTTCCGTGCACTTTAAGCCGGTCAACCGTATCGTAGCGAAGCGTATTTCTTTGTTTCCTGAGCACTAGAGTGGAACTTAATGACTTCGACACAAAAGAAAATGCTACGTGATACGGTCGAGATGAAAATCGGCCTTTACTTGTTTGTTTACTTTGTTAGATCCATCGGTACGTATGTTCAAGAATTAAAATTATAATTATATTGAAAATAAAAGTGCAAGTTTATATTTGCCGTTTCTGTGTTTAATTAAATCTAGTAGTTATCCAGACCATTTTGTGCTTTCTAATCTTAAAATGGTTATTTAATTTTATTAGTAAGTATGACTAGACACCGACTCAGTTTGTTTATATATACTGAACGCTCGGAACCCTAAACTCAAGTCCTTTTCATCGGAAGTACAACCATCCGAGAAGCCCTGGGAACGAGGATGAAGTACAACTGAAGTTAAAATAATTCAATTTGTACATACATACATATACATACATACAAAAATTTATTTTTACACGGAAAAAAACCATCAGTACATCAAAACGATTGCTATTTACAAGTTTGTAAGTATAAAAATAAATGCAATGAATGTTTATTTCAAAAGCTGAAAATTGGTGCCAAATTGAGACAAAGCTAAAATCCCATCCGCCAGAAAGCCATACAGTTTTCAATTTGATTTTTTAGTGTAAATCACAGGTGTAAACACCTGGTTCGGTGCTTCAAAGCTAGGTTAGTGTTAACCCTGGGTTAAAATTAAACCCGATATTATTAGAAATTAACAATATACTCGTAACTCGCAGCTCGTATCTCGCAACTCGCAGCTCGCAACTCGCAACTCGCAGCTCGCACTTTAGATAATCTCCTTTTGAATAAGCAATCCAAATGCACGCAAATTAATGAGGTAAAAGTGAACGGCAGTAAAGTAACTTGTGACATGAACATAGCCAACGAATTCAATAACTTTTTTTCTACAATAGGACCAAGGTTAGCGAATGATATTACACCTGAACTGATTTTGATCCCCTTAGCTGTGTAACACCTGCATCCAAAGTCTTTGAATTCAAGAACATAACCTATTCAGAACTAGAGAGAGTATTAACGGAAGCCAAAGCCTGTAAAGCATCTGGTCTTGACAAAATTTCGAACAAACTCTTAAAAGCCGCAGGAAACACAATTATCGATTCACTTGCCTATATATTTAATCTATCGTTTAGTACTGGAATTTTTCCAGACGAAATGAAATTTGCCAAAGTTACCCCTATTTACAAAACAGGTGAGAAATCTGACTGTAGTAACTATAGACCTATATCTGTGATATCGGCCGTGGCAAAAGCATTCGAAAAGATTGTTTACAATCAACTAAACAACTTTCTTAATCAGAATACGATTATCTCAACACATCAGTCAGGTTTTCGTAGTCGACATTCAACAGAAACTACACTTCTTCATACTACAAACCAATTACTCGTAAACATGGACAAGGATTTGATTAGCGGCATATTATTCTTAGATCTTAATAAGGCTCAGTTTTGACACAGTCGACCATGAGATACTTCTCTCTAAATTAGAACGCTATGGAATAAGAGGAAAAGCCTTGCAATGGTTCAGATCATATATCCTCGAAAGGAAACAAATGTGGAAAATTAATGACTCGATTTCAAATGTTAAAAAGATCAGGTGTGGAGTTCCCCAGGGATCAAACCTTGGTCCACTGCTATTTGTTATTTACATAAACGATCTGCCTAATTGTTTAGAAACAACTCGAGCGTCTATGTTCGCGGACGATACCAACATACAGTATCATGCTGTAGCAATTCACCCAGTGACATTGAACACAAACTAACTAAATACCGACCTCGAAAACGTACATAAATGGTTATTAGCCAACAAATTGACGTTGTATACAGAAAAAACAGCATTTATGATAGTCGGATCTCGGCAAAAAATAAATAATATGCCCAGTGTTCCACATATAGTCATTGGAGATCAGATAATAAATCAAGTATCGAGCAAAAAAGTTTTAGGGGTCATAATTAATGATCAATTAAAGTGGCACGATCATAATGACGCACAGTGTAAAAAAATCTCAAAGGGTATAGCCCTCTTGAGAAGAGCAAAGCCTTTTGCAACATTAGATACATTACTAACAATGTATAAATCACTTCTTTTACCACATTTCACATACTGTTCCACTGTATGGCATGATGGAAACAACTCACACATCACAAAGCTACAAAAACTTCAAAAACGAGCGGCGCGGACCCGTGATAACAAATTCAGGTTATGACATTAGATCACACGAGATATTTGATAACCTAAAATGGGAGCCTTTTACTAAAAGGGAACAAATAATGACATTTAAGGCACTAAGAGGCATTGTACCAACATATTTGACTATTTGACTGAACTATTCACCACTAACAACAATACCACATACTGTCTAAGAAGCAATAATCGAAAGCTTTACCTTGATAAACCAAAAACAAATTTCTTAAAACGTAGTTTTTCATATCGAGGAGCAATGTCCTGGAATAGCCTACCACTTGAAATCGTCGATAAATGCGGCGATTTATCAGTTGATTAATTTAAAAGACTTATCAATCAGAAGGATTAATAAATTTGTGAATTTATTATTGTAAATTAATAATGTAAATAGTATTTATTAGGTAATTTGATTATGTATTGTATTTTAGATCCAAAGATCACAAGCATCTTATTCATTGATATCGAAGGAACTGGACTCGGCTCCGAAGTATCATATACTCGAACCGACCTGACCGCGCAGCTCAGTTGGCAGAGTATTGGGCTAGTTTTCCAAAGGTCGTAGGTTCGATTCCCACCGTGGCCAGGGCATATTTTTCAAGCCTGCTCGGTGTGGATATATACACTCAAAGTAACATCACAAGCATAAGTTAATTTAAAACTACGAATACGTTCTAATTGCATGGGATAAAACTATTTCTAAACCGTTCAGTTTTAGCCTTAATAGACGGAAGGCGATCATTACGCAAGTTATATTGATGTTTACTACTAAATGGCGGTAAAAGGTTAAACTGAAGGCGATTGGTTGGCAATTTACTCCGTTAAAATATTTGCGACATAGCGTTTCTCTTCGGTCTTTGAGTGACATTAACGTAGTGGTTTCCTTGTTTCCCCAATATAAGAGGTAGATGGTCTCTATTCGCCGAGTTGTTCGATTTGGTCAATTTGACGAGTCGTTACGACCCGTACAAGTGCGACCGGCTTTATTCGCCGAGTCGTTCAATTGGGCCAATTCGAGAAGTCGCAACGAACCGTATACGAATCAGGGACTCACACTGGAGTAATATCGCGAGGGCGAGAGTAATATCGGGGTCGATATATCCAACATGGCGAGTTACTTCTCAAATCATGCAATGTTGTCGTCGAGGCAATATTAGGGACCTTAAAGCCTGGTTCACATTGATCGGCGATGTTCTACGATCCATTGTCTGTGAGCAACGAAGAAGAAAATGCACAAAACATTTTATGCATCAATGACCACCGACAATGGGCATCGCCGATGTTTACGATCAATGTGAACCAGGCTTTAAGGCTGATTTCCATGCACTGTTGCGTTTTTCCTACGCACCTACACGCACGTACAACTTTGAATCCTTTTATTTTTTAAATATTTTACAAATAAGTTAACAAATGCATACTAAAACTTGCGGAACACTAAATTATGTTGCTTTATTTATTTGGTTATTTCATAAGTAACACTTAAACGGATTTAAAGTTTTACGTGCGTATACGTACGTATGAAAAACGCAACAGTGGAAATCAGCCTTTAAGGCTGATTCCACTGTTGCGTTTTTCATACGTACGACGTATACGTATACTACGCACGTAAAACTTTTGAACTAACTATTGACGACATTAAGCTTCTACGAACAGTCTTTCAAACAGCTTTTTTAACCACACCAAGCAGACCTAGGCCTACAAACAAATGCACGGTTGTGCTATGCATGGGCAGTCCTGTAAGCCCTATCTCATGGCAAATCGCTGTTTATAGGTTATTGAAGAACTCGCTCTGGCTCAAGCAACTATATACCACCTACGAAATGGTTTCGGTATGTTGATGATGTTTTCTCGATCGTCAAAAAACATGCATTAGATTCCTTCATAATTTACTGAACTCCGTTGACCCAGGCATAAATTTTACTATAGACACTATGAACAAGACGGACAACTTTCATTTTTAGACATTTTAGTTTCTCGAAACAACGGAACCTACATACACTCGGACTTACAAGTACTTATAGATTTTAACTGACTTCACGATAAACAACATAAAATTAGCATAGCATAAACTCTCTTACACCGGGCAGCAACACTTCCAAACACGGTCGACGGCAAACAACAAGAACGTGAGCATGTCATTAAAGCTTTGACGGCAAATGGGTACCCACAGAAGTTTCTGACAGAAGTGGAAAAGAAACGTGCTTTGAGACAGCAAAAACACCATCACATGCAGAAATAAGAGCTTGTTCGAGATGATCCTAGTACAAAGGTTGATTATGCGATTTTACCATACATCAAAGGCCGAACAGAACCCAGTCTCAAACGCCTCCTCAAGCGAGACGAGCAGACGAATTGACTCGTCAAATTCATGTTTGTGCATCATGTGGCAAAGTATAGGTGAAAGACAAAATTCGTATCAAATAACGAATTGTATACGACCTGTACAATTGGAGAGCATTGTGTTAGAAAGGTCTTGATCATGACGGATGTTACAACTCGTACCGGTACGAGTACGACCGCATCTATGGGCAGTATCGGACATGTGTGAGCTATCCGACGTGAAACGTGATAATTTTCAGCATTTGGTGCTCCGTTTCAAAATCACTTCAAAACTCAATTGTTTTCTTAACGTCAATAGGTAAATGGAAGACATATCTGATATCGTTTTCCCTATGGAAAACAACCCGTATAGTGAAAACGTTGGCAGAGTTTTACATTGTGATAACATACAAATAACCCACGACAGGTTATGAAAAACGACTCTTCAAATCTTGAGGGGCAAGCTCTCCCACATATTCTGAGTGCAGGGACATGTAGTTACGGCATCGCCAGAGCTACTAGCTACTCGTGGTATAGCTTTCCTCTTGGCTCTATTTTCACTCTGTTGGATTCATTTGGCTACATCTATTCTCACTCTAGTTCTGGATGGTCTTTAACGTGAGATCATACAAGATCAATATATTTACCAACCCTTATTGGGAAAGAAAGTTGTATATACTTACAGAATAATGGTTTCCATTTTTTATTTGTACTTCAGCTTTCTTCCATTGATTGCCCTGATCACCAGATATCTTGAACAGCTCCACCATTTGACTACCCATATTTTCATATACGATAAGAGATCCTATGTCAGCGCCGTACATGTGGTAAGAGAATTTCAAACATTGAGTACCGCTGACTTGGGAACTGACGAGATAAGCTTTGTCACCTTCCACTCTGGGCATTGATATCTCAATATAGACATACTTGCCTGCAAGTGAAAACAAACATTAAAAGTATATTCAAACACTCATTAATTAATAATTCATTAGCTTATTGGGAAATTATATCAACTATAATATGTCACGTGCAATGGCTTTAAACCTGATAAAACACTCCTAATTAGTATTCTTTATATAAAGTTAAGAATACTAATAAGGCAGTATATCTATTGTAGTCGTGTCCTCATTAGTATTCTTTAAAGAATACTAATAAGGCAGTATATCTATTGAATTTGTAGTCGTGTTTGGAGCCTTGCGCACGAGTGGCTTTATAGACCTAATAAAACACGACCTATATACGAGTTTATTAAACAGATCTTTAATAACTATTGTTTCATTAATTGTTTTGCTAATTCGTCTTATTAGTATTTCATGAGGACATTAGCCTACAGTTTTGCTTTATTTTGCTCACATGAGTCATGCATGACGATACTGGATACCTGTAGAACAGTAGTACTAGAACTATCGTATTTTAAACTAGTCCTAAGTCCGGACTGAAACAAAATTAATTCAGTCCTACTCCTGGATCAAAATTAATTCACTTCACTTTAAGTTTAAAGATAAAGAGCAGAGCCCAGCAAACAACTTTAAAACCAAACATAATCAGTAAAAATTTTATTAGCTGACGCTTCGTTGTTTACAATACAACATCTTCATGCAGAGCAATCTAAATGAATTTACAGGGTATGGTATATATATTTACAAAATAATGCTTTAATATTACAAAAACGGTTACATAGTTTGAAAGAACAAATGAATAGAAAGGAAAACAACTTGTCAGTAACTATAGTTAATAAGTAAAGATTAATGTTAAGTGCATGCATGCATGGCCTACATAACTGAAATAACTCAAGAGGGATAGATCTAATATTAGCATTATAAGGACAGGGTTAAGTTGTGAAATTATAATAATAGGCTTTCACGGATAAGAAGATCCCACTCAGAAGTGCCTGATGATAGAATTTTGAGACTAGACATGGTTGAGATAGCATACTCGCTCACAAACACATGCACAAACACCCAGTCTCCGCTTCTGATTTCAAAATTCTTTATCATTAGGCACTTCTGACTGTGATCTTCTTATCCGTGAAAGCTTATTAATTTCTCAACTTAACCCTGTCCTTAATGCTAATATTAGATCTACCCCTCTTGAGTTATTTTAGATATATAATATTAACCTTAACTATATACTAACCATGCACTTAACATTAATCTTTACTTATTAACTATACTTACTGATAAGTTGTTTTCCTTTCTTTCTATTCATTTGTTCTTTCAAACAATGTAACCTTTTTTGTAATATTAAACCGCCATTTTTTTGTTAATATATATATATATATATATATATATATATATATATATATATATATATATATATATATATATATATATATATATATATATATATATATATATATATATATATATATATATATATACCCGGTCAGACGGATTTAAGACTGGAAATTATGAAGTCTTAAATCCGTCTGACCGTGTAGCTCAGTTGGTAGAGCGTCGACCTAGTAATTCAAGTAAAACAAACTATATCAGCCAGACAAATAAACAGCTCGAAGAAGAGAAATCAAATTTAGTAACAGCCATTAAAATAATACAAAATGACTTTAATCAGCAGGCTATCTCGAAAAAGAAAAGCGGCGAAGCAAGAGAAGAGACCGGTGGTGGCA